AACTTTAAAACATGAAGTTACTACGTCAGCAAGCAATTATTAAATAGCCTTGATTGATTAAACTTGCGATTTTCGAAACTTCGCAATCCCCCCGAAATGATAAATGACTTTACGTTGTGCCATCCTTTTTCTTCCTTTCCGTCATTCTTTCTCGTATCCATACTTGGATGCTAACTATCGATTTTATTGAAATTGGGATTGGAAGAGATAATCTATTACTTTCTTTTCATAATTAAGCAAACGCTGATCTCCTTTTAAACTAATTTTATCACAAATTTCCAATAGCAAAGCTAATTAGTAGAATTGACAATATTCGTCATTATAGAAGACTTTTTTTTAAATTCCTATGTAAAAAGAAAAGAAAGAAGATGAATTGTTTAACAGTTAAAATTTAAAGATGTAGGACATTTAATACATTTCCGTAATAATTTGCTAATTATAATATTTTTCGATATGGCTTTAACTTAAGCGAGCGAGCATCGTCTATCCGCTTACTGCAAATCCTTCGAACGTACGCGCTTTGTAGTTCATAAAGTCGATTGTATGTAGTAATTTATCATCTGTCTGCAGGTAATCTAGCGGTGAGCACGCAAAATACGCCTTTATTCGCGAAAACGACAATGATAAAATATCCGATACGGACAATCCTCAAATTTATGCAAACGTGTCCCACGAATGAATAATCTGCGAATATTTTATATAAGACAGGCAGTTTATATAAGAGATCTTTTTCATTTATGCAAATTCCATCAATAAACTCTAGAGAGATTTCAATCAGGCTTCCGGCGGATTTATAATCATCATTGAAAGAAACGTCGACCGCGTTTGGCGGTCAGCGTTTTAATTTATCCGCTCGGAGATGAAAATAAATTTCTAGTCTTATGCGACGAGAGAAGGATTGTGAATAATTAATGCGTCCGCCAATCTCGTCGATCGTGCCCATTAGCTGATTTGATTGAATGGCTCCTACGGCGGATGTAACAGACGCCGAGCTTGAAAGTATTCCAAAATCCGCGCAGGATATCCGCTCAGCAAACCGCGGATAGCAAACCGGCGACGAGCCAACGTGAGATTCGTGAGATGCGATCTTTTTCGTTCAAGGATCCTAACTTAACTCTTGATATATCGTATTTGATGGCGTTAATTAGCGTCTCATCGCGATACAGATCTCGCGTGTCACTCATATCTCAAGCGACGACGGAGTGGGTAACAACGATAATCGATAATATTGATATAACGTACGTCGCGCCAATAATCGCCAATCGCTCACCGGCGGCCAAGAAATAACGTTGGAACGCCGCGGTTGACGACGTTCATGCTATTACTGAACCGTGTCAGGTAACGTACACCAGGGATACACAATAGCCGCCGTGAGTTACGCCATTATCGAATACTGCGGAATAATCTGCACGTAATGCGGATATATACCGGATATTTAGAAAATGTTGAATATTTACAACTTTCTGTCGCGTAACGCGATAAGAAAGTTTGTCACGCGTCTCGATTTAGTGAAGCACGTGTCCGAGAAGACCTCCGACCTTTGTTAACTTAAATTCACTGACTCGTTGGACTGAAGTTGGCTTGCGCGCCGTTTTTAGAGCAAAGAAGTCCGATATTATGTAAATTTTAATTTCTGAACGCTGATTGGTTTTTCGATAAAAGTTGAGAAACAAAGTAATTAGGTATTCATGAATTGTACGATAGTTTTGCTTCGTAATTTTTGTCGGTAGTAACAGTTTTCCACCTGTGTATACTTTTAGTTAACAATGTATTTTGATTTTCATAGATTTGAAAATATTCGTTAAATTTTTGAAATATTATATATCATAAATACTGAAATGTCGATAGACATAATTATGATTCTACGACTCATTGTCAGAGTCAGACCATAGAAAATAATACTCCGTCCGATTCGGCGCCAATCAGCGGCAAAATAAAGAAAAATATGCATTGAAAGGCGGAAAAGTTTACGTCGCTTTTTTTGTAGTCGATCGGGCAAACTCGGGCTTACATTGATTATTCTTCGCGATTGGACAGCGTCAAATAAGTTGGATTGAAAAATGTAAGGGATCGCTGAGGCGGAAACGGAACAGACAATCAGAAGCGGAAGCGCGAGTAGATGTCGAAGAATGTCGGAGCATCGTGGTGGAAACTACCCAAGAAACGTTGGAACTTTGACGCCAGCGGAGTGTATAAACTCGCGACTATTACCAGCGGTATAGCGGAGAAATCGCAAAGACGGAATGTCCGGATGCCAGTGATGCAAACGTAAATATAGCGCGCCCAATGCGTCTATCAGGGTTATCAGCGTCGATACGTTATAGAATCGGATTTCAACGTTGGAATTTCTTTCGGAATATTTCAAAGTTTTGCCGGAAGAATGATAAAACTCAGTTTGATAACGTGTTAATGTAGAATGTTTTTGTCGCATTAAATTTTATGATTGTAGCATCAATCACACATTTATGAAATGTCGAATCGTCTATATTTTTTTAATTGCAAATGATTATGAAAAGATTCTTTTCGCAGACTAAATTTCCGTGGTATAATTATACGAAGAAGCTCCATTTCATCTAATTTCATTTAATTTCCTAATTTACTAACTTTTACCTCTTCGTAATTTTAATCCTTTGCAGTTGTATGTTGACTTGGATATGACAATACGTTGCCTATCGCATGATTCTTCAAGTATTTAAATATGTACGCGATTATAATCGGCAAATTATATTTTTGGGATTTCCATAAATTCCTCCAAGTAATAAAAATCCCTTGATTCATGTTAGACTAGCTGATCAGATGAAACTGAGGACGAAATACTTGATATTTGCTCATTTACTAGAAATTTGGACGGCAAAGAGTTAATTTAAAGAAATTTGATGCTAAATATTTCTGGATAATACAACGGGTAACGATCTCCAGAAATGTTCTCTAAAACAAATCGACAATATATTCATGTTTAGATTTTCGTTTAATCATGATTAAGACTAAGCATAAGTAACATAGGATAGCTAGCTTATCTTTGAAGGAAGCGCAAGACTGTTTCAATTGTAGTTTGATTCAGGAATTCGCTCGTACGATGATACGCGGCGTCGGATTAGAATGCCGTCGTTGTACGATTATCTTCCCCCCGTCATTATCGTTCGACACACACAAGCATGTGAGGGAACGCGCGACACGGAAGAGCGGAGCGCAATGTCGAGATGGAGAAAAGGCAGCACAAAGGAGAATCGGGCCATCGGAGCGTTAACCTCCGTCCAGATGATCCCTTTTTCTAACTGGAAGAAAAAGCGCGGACCCTCACGTTGAGATATTTTATTTGCTTCAGAAGAATTGCTAGCAAACGTAGATTGGAATGTTTCATGGCGCCTCATTTAGGCTACGCGGTCAGCGCTTTCAACGATTGTGCCTTCCTCTGTTTTCCTTTGTTCTTCAAGCGTGTATACGGTTATTTAAAAGAAATTAACTTTATCTTACAATTATGTACCTTTTCAATGTTTATTCTAGCTCCCTGCGCCAGCCAAATTAAAAAAAACCCTAATTGTATTAAATTTCTTCTTTTCGATATGATTTTGGTGCGTCTCGTCGTACGTAGATATGCCGCATCGCGATTCGATAGTCGTATATCACGTATTTCGGACAGTAGCACACAAACGCGTCGTTTTCCCGAACGTGCCAAAATACTACACACGATAAACGGCCAGTTTCATTTCTCTTCCGTCTATAAAGTATCTAGTTGGCGCCCGCTCGTTTCAAATGCGAGCTGAATGAAGTACACACAATCAGGTATACCCTGTTGTCTTTAATCCAATATCAAAATATTGGCGGTTACGATTCTGAATAAGGTCTGCCCTAACTAGCTGGCAGCTGCTGTTGTTTTATTTCGACGTATTTGCCTCTACTTCATCCGATGGGAGAAAAGGAGAACATCCCTTGGTCGATCCGGACCGAAGAGACCGAGGCAGTATCCTCCCGCATACGTGCCTCTGTTGACTGAAGTGACTTAAGTCAACGCCGCCCACGGTCTGGCACGCGGCCTCCAGCGCGCGCCAAGACGAAGAGGGATGTACCGCGCGAGGGGATGAGAGATATATGGAGGACGTCATCGAGGGGGGATGTGGATCCGTACGAGCGACGGAGACGGTGGGCTGCCGGTGATGGAGTGCGAGGTGGCGAGGCCTGAAGGATGAGGTGCGACGACGACGGAACGAGCGGAACTGCGAGAGAGACGCGGCAGAGCGAGTGGCGGCGGCGAAGGGTTCAAGTATAAGGATACCGAGGCATGCGCCGTCCTATCATATTGATCTCGCCATAGTAACGATTCTCTCTTCTCCGGCGATGCCGGGATGCACTATAGTCGCGGGAGGAAGAGGGATGCCGAGAGAGCGAGGAGCCGAGCGGGAGGGTTCGCGGAGGAGAGGGCGGGAGAAAGAGAGAGGGAAGAGAGGGCAGGCAGGTCGTACCGCATGGTGTACCACGCCACCCCACGATGCGCGGATGTGGGCCGCTGAGGGTTGAACGCGAGGGAGAGAGCGTGGGACGAAGCGCCGATGGGACGAAGAGAAAGGGGGTTGCCGAGGCGGTCGGTAGAGGGGGAAGAAGGTATATGTGACGAGAACAAGAGCGAGAAGGAAGAAGAGGGACGGAGAGGACTGCGAGAGACGGACAGCGTCGGTGATCGAGGTAGAACGATACGGAGAGGGAGGGAGGTGCAGAATGATGGAGAGGGGTGGGATCTAGACGCGCACGGCGACTAGCAGGTGTACATGCTGAACTAGACAAAGAAGATGGAAGCGAGAGAGGAAAAAAGAAAGACAGAGAAAGAGAGAGAAAGATAGAGAGAGACAGGCCAAAAGGGAGAAAGAGAAAACGCGAAGGACGGCAATATCGCGAGCAACCGAGACAGGGAAGGTGGTGAACGGTGGTGGTAGAGGCTACCACAGAGCTAGCGCCAAAGCGGGTTGAAGCGGCAGTACCGCGCGGCGCTGCAGCTAAATGAGAATCAGTCCAGCGTTGTTCGCCGGCGAGGCCGCACCTGACAACCCCCCATTGACGGGAGAGAGTGATACAGGCTCCGCGACCGAGATTTAGAAAGAGTCTGTCTGACGTACGCTTATCCGTATAGCAGAAGGGAGAGACGTCAGGGATGTTCTCGCGGTGCTGCCGGTCGCACGCGTACCGAGACCCGCAGTACCAAGAGTGAACCACTCTCCTCCCCCGTTGTTCACCCTGACCCGATGCTGCGGCAGCCGAGCGAACGCGGGAAGCCCGACGTACGGGACGTACCGATGATCAGACTGCGGATGCGTCCCTAAGCCCATTTTCTACGCACACATACACACAGAGCCACGCGAGAGATCTGCATCAAGCCCCCAGTGATCCCCAGTTACGATCGCTGGCGATCAAGGCTCGGACCGATATCCCTTGCTCGGCTGCTCGTGACCGACGTCGTGTCTGTCGGGAACTGTTCGCGAGATCGAAGTGAGAGAGGGACCCCGAGGTGGTAAACGGGATCCGCAGGCAAATCCAAATCGGAAGAGATGTCCGCGCTGCCCGACGATGCCGCGTTGTGGTGCAGGCTGTCCAGGCCATAGTTCACGCAGGTTGTGCCATCCGGTACCGGATAGCGGCGTGCGAAAGTACCGGGACATCGCTGCGTGGAGGCGGTCACGTGCCCCCGACGGAGCTAGGACGATGCACCTGGCGAGCCCGGTGCAGTCGCGACCGGGCGAGCCCTGAGGATTCACGATCGCTCCGTTCCCATCGCGCCGAGCGGCTCGTCGCCGGGAGACAGCTGATCTTCCGGGCGGTTCAGGTCGAGGTTCGTCCTCGCTCGACGCCGCCTGGCAGCCACGTGCGAGGACGAGCGGACGAGCGGCGGTGAGGCAGCGGTGGCGGGAAGGGAAGTGGAGAAAATCGGCAACGTGGAGGAGGTGGTGCACGGCCGGGCGGTCATCGAGGAAGCAGCTACGTTCCGGCACCCCCTCGAACAAACATGAGACGTTCGTGGACGCTTGTCGCGGCGATAGCCCTGGCTGCATCGGGTGAGTGACTCCACTTTCAGGAGAGTGTCTCTGCCATTAGTCCGACAATGTCCGTCCACATGAACCTTGATTGCGACGTGAACTCGTCCGCCGTACGTCTCGCTTAATCATCGGTCCGGCTCTCCTCATCCGTCAGGACGTTTCTTCGAGTTTTCACTGTGTCCCACTCCCACTCGTCCCTTCCACAAGTGTCCGTCGACGTCACGCGTCACTCGTTGCTCCGAGCTTCCATCTTTCTTTCTTTCTTTCCGACCCTGCGAACGTACGAAGCTGCAAAAACGATATGTATTTCACATATTTCATAGGTATTACATCGATCTGTTCCCCTTTAGCATCGTTTAGCATCGTTTATTTCTGGAAAATAATTAAAATCTTGCTGGACGGCTGACTAGTTTGAATAATAGCCAGTGGCGTCGATGTTTTTTTCTTACGATTGATAATATCATGACAATTCGTTCCTATCACGCGATCTCTCGTTTTACGATTCGTTGATATTGATGCATGAAGACTCGTTGAGCTTGCGATTGAAAATATATCAATACTACGATTCGGATCGGTGAATTTTGATTCTAATGCAAATCGACAGTTTCGATCAGAAGTTCACTGCTCTCTAGAATTTTATGTATCTTCACGATCTTAGTTATATCTGCGAAAGCATGGATGATCCGCCGACTTATCGAGTACACGTGAAATTCTTCAAGTTTGAAGTTTCCAATTTCACGCAAATCCTGATTGCAATTAATCATCTGTTCGTACCAGTTTTATTTTCGGAATTCGCGCGAGGCTTCTATTCGTAAACAGATAAATATCTTCAAGTTTGCTCGAAGGAATTGCTATATCAGCAAGTTTTGTTTATACGAGTGCACTCTTGCTATGATTCTTCATCCCGTTCCTCTCGTTCGAATCAGATCTCGAATTTCTTTAACATTATTTTCCAGGTGACGAGAGAACGATTCACTTGAGCTAGGAAAATCTCTTCAATTTCGTTGTTTATATACGAGAGATACTTTTCCATTTCGCGATGATCTCCGTTATTCGTTCGCCCCGAAACTCAGATTCGCACTTCGTTTCCGAAATGTCGCGCCGGGCGGTTAAACATCACGGTTGCCGGCCCCGGGTTACGAAAGAGGGCGAGTTTCGCTTTCCGGGCGTGGATGTTGATCACGATCCTTCATCTCTTCGACGTCGCTCTCTCACTTTCGGGATCGGCGCGAGCGATCCTCGTCGAGTTTTCGAGCTTTGAATGGAGCGGGCACAGATGTAGAGCGCCCGCAATCCCGGGAGGAGAAACAGGGCGGAGGAGAGGAGGCAGGGGTGACAAAGGGGGCTTGGAGAGGAAGGGAGGGTGGACGCAGCGTTTCAATATTGACGTCAACCCGCGACGCTTCCAGAGCGACGCGATGTCTCGCGCCTCGTTAGCGGCACGTTGATGCCGCCAGCTGGAAGTCAAAACGCGCGCGCGTGTGTCGCGTCGCGCGCCAAATCGGCATCGCACAAATATTTGCGCGTTGCGCCAATCGTGTTTTTATTGCGTTGAACCGGAGCCCGCGATCGCGTTATCTTTGACATGCCTTCGCGTCGCGTTGCCTTCGCCTCCACGTCGTCTTTCGAAATGGAAGAATAGCACGGATCGTTATTTGCGGATGAATCTCGGAAATGTGGAATGTACAGCTTTTAAAATTAACCAAACAAATGTAGACTGTCCACCGTTGTGTGACGATACATTATTATACAGAAGATATTATGATTAAAGATTCACATCCTTTTTTTTATCTTCTCTTTCAATATAATCTTTCCAAATAAATTTTATCGTAAAAAAAGTAGAAAATGATACACGTATGGTTGCAAAAGCATTTATTCTGGACTCTTCAGAAATACTAATAATGAGATACATATTCCGAACTGACAATTTCCTTTTTTTTTTTTTTTTAATATTGTAGAATTTAAGCATTTGGTTCAACAACCTCTTCATTTAAAAATAATCTCTGGATCTCTTTCAGTTTTAAATTTATTACGATCGTGTCGTTCGAAGTAGTAGTAATAAATTTGAGCGGAATATAAATTGCCGCTTCCTCCCGTTCCGCGTTGTGAAACGTTAATTAATTGCAACGTGCCTGTTAAAAATAATAATCGTTCAATTCTGATGCGTTCCGCATTCAATCGCGCTCGCGATGCCGTGAATATTTTTACGTACGAAAACAACACGAAAATTCCATTATGAATGTCCGTCGCGCGTGTTGATCGAGACCGAATGGAAACATTCCCGTGCTGCAGTCGCGGCACACGTCAAAAGCTGTCTCCACCTGCACTACCAAATTGTGCATGTTAGCCCCGTGTAAAATGTAAATTAGGAAGTTACCCACCTCGTCCACGCGTGTCCGGGGATCGTTCTGTCATGACGTATCGTGTTGATTAATTAGCATCCCAGCCGCCGGCTGGCAACGCAGTTGGCCGTGCTGGTGCAACCGGCGCCGTTGCAGACGTCGCCTCGTCGGAACGGAAAATGGTTGCAAAAATCGTAGTCACTCCACGCCGCAAGAAAGCACGGGAAGTGTTCTTCTCTCCAAGTGATTAATGCGTGCTTTCGTCTGGTCGATCGATTGCTACTCCGAGAAAAATCTGCGGATGTTAAACGAGACGTCTTTGTACGCGACACGAAAACTTTTTTCGGTGGAAGTTAACGGAAATTGTTTCAAATTAATTAAAATATCAATTTTATCGGCTGACTTAATATTTATCAAATCTTTGCGATTTTTTTAAATTTGTTTTTGTAAAAAAAATATATTGGAGCGATTTGTGAGATTCAAATTCAAGAGGTTCCTCGATGCAATGCGTTGATTAATTAGAGTCCTATGCTACGAACCATTCGTTCATCTTCGTCGTTTTGACAGACAACTACATTATATGCAGGCTAAGTCATTTATCTCGAATATTTTAAATATTTTCGCAGGATATTCATTGTTTCCGAAGAATAGATTTTGTATTGCTGCATGTGGGATATAAAAATCTTTTTCGTCATTTTTTTATGCCTTTGTTGAGTGCGTACATGAATGTATCTGAAGTTTATTCTTGGTTTAAAAGTTTATTTTTGTTTATTCTGTTTGAAAGTTTATTTTTTGAAAAAATATATATTCTAGAAAATGAAAAAGATGCTCGACTTTTTAAAAACCTGTATTTATATTGCATTTATTCGATCTACGTATTAATTTCTACAAAAATGATAAAGACTTTCAAATCTATAATTATTCAATGATATATATAGATAGTTATAATAGTGCGAAATTAAAAGTTTTAGAAATTGATCTAAAAATTGTTTCATTTACTGCACATATTTCCGATCCACTTTCTGGACTCTGAGAAATATCAATTTTTATAATTTGAGATATATAATTATCTCCGGAAATAAAACTGGTCGAAAGGAGATTTATAAATAATAAATAAAGGAAAGAAACATATAATGGCATGAATCAAACTAAAATTGAATCTGAATCTCTTTATAAATTTCTAATGTTACAAACGTAATATATTTTATTATTTCTTTCATTCTATAAAAAGATGAATTACAAGATTCTAATGACACTGTGTCAATTAATTATAAACCTACGCTAGTTCATTCGTTTATCTTCGTTCATTCGGGGAACAATTACGCCTACTGAGGCTTCTGAGAATTGCTGACCTATCCACCCACGCGGAACCAGATCGTGCGTTCGTAGTAATCGTAGTAATATAGCAATTGGAGGAAAGAATGGCGAGGAAGCATGAGACATCAAAATCTCTTGAGCTACTCATATAAATTCTTTAATAGCAACATTTTCTGTAATCATTTCCGTAATATTCCCATTGTATCATTCCTCATTACATCTATATTTTTTGAAATATTTTTGAGACATGATATCGACATGATAACGACCAAGCTGAAAGAACATCACGCGAAGATAGTGTTTTAGAATACGCAATTATTAAAGACGAATTTTTTTCGAGAAACACCGAGATTCGTCAGGCGAAGTGAATTCCTCCGCAGGGATTTTCCTCGAACGGACTTTCAAGAATGTCTAAAATTTTCAAGCAACAGCACGGTTTCCCCACAGAGCTTCTTAGAGCGGATTACACAAAAATCTCGGAATTACCGGCAAAGTCCAGAAGTTAAAAATAACATAGACAAAAACTTTTGGGATTATTCTGTCTGTATCTGGCAATCTCTCCGTATACGGAACACGTGAACGGTGTAATAATTACAGACTGTTACAAAGTAAAAGTGGTATCGTGAAAGTGAAAGGATAAATATGCACACTAATTAATTGCACTTCCCTTTAACGGATAGACAGTACCTACAGAAATATTCGAGAATAATTAATTTATTAATAAATTTCAAACTTCTAGTCACAGATTTGTTTTCGGATACTTTGCACATGACATAAATGGAACAGCAGTATAGAAATAATACCACTTTTCCGAGCGTGTTCGAATTGTTAATAATTGATGTTATTTCTTTACCGTCCAAAAATTATCGCACCTGCACATTCTCTTTAAATTTGAACTCTGAACCTTTTTAGTTAGTTGAACGATGAAGAGCTAGCTTGAAGAAAATTACATCAAAAACATTTTATATAAAATTAATCCTTAGAGTGTCAGTAATTCCGTCGGCAAATTATATTTTAAAAGTTCTACTCCTAGTCTTTGAATAATATCGTTTTTAAAAATTGCATGTTCTAAAACATTATCTTCGCGTGATATTTTTTCAGCTTGCTCGAAACATAATTGTGTCTCAAAAATATTTCAGAAAATAGATTTAAAAAAATCAAATATATCAATCATGTGTGTGAGGAAACGTCCTGGACACCCTGTGTGTTAATTCGCGTTACTTAGAAGTAGTAAAATTTGTTATACTATACTCTTGGATAAAAAGCATGCGATAATTGCAAAGAGTATTATGACATCATACTGATGCGATAATTGCAAAGAGTATCATACTGAATTTTTCCAAGTTGTCGAATAATCAA